CTGAACAATAAGTCTCTTGGCAGTCACCTTCGCACAGATGAAGCGATGTCCAGGTATATCCACGAGCTTTGCTGGGAAGGGGTTTCTCTGACTGAGGCATCGTATGCAGTTTTTGGATATATCATGCTTCGTAGCCCGTCTTCTTGGCACATGCATGACAGAGAGAAGTTTCCCATCTCTCGTCAAGCCTTGAAGGGTTGGAAAGCCAGATTTCCAGGTAAATCACGCACAGGAGTTGATCTCGTGCTTTGGGATCTTGTGGCACTGTCAGCTTGTGAAGTTGGAAACTTTTTCACTGCAGCAGCAATCATTTTGCAGGGTGATACCTACCTTCGTCCATCTGAACTGCTGGAGCTAACAGTGCGACATATGTTGAAGCCTTGTCGTCGTCAGAAATGTTGGGGGGTCATGGTAGGCCTTTCAGATGATGGAGTCCCTGCGAAGAACGGTGAGTTTGACGAATGCGTTTTTCTTGACACAACAGCACGACCTGATGTCAATCAGGTTGCGAGCCTTCTGGTTAAGAATGCCTGTTCTGCTGACGGTATGTTGTTTGGTACATTATCTCTTGAACAGTATGAGAAACAAATCAAACAAGCTGCCTCTGCCGTTTCTTTGGGTCACTTGAATCTGTGTCCCCACATGTTAAGACACAGTGGTGCTTCGCATGATGCCTTTCACCAAGAAAGGTCTCTCAAGGAAATCCAAGTGCGTGGTAGGTGGAAAGCAGTGCAGTCTGTCAATCGGTATCGCAAACCTGGATTGATGCTGCTTCGACAATCTTCTGTCCCGCGAAGTGTTTGGAAGAAAGCAGATCAATCACGACAGCTTGTGCTCTCCCACCTTCGAAAGTTTTTTGGCTAGTACTTAAGGGCTTCGCCCAGTCCTTCCTTATGGGCTATGGGCAGGTGATGGGTTCACAAAGCAAGTGTTGCAGCCAGCAACGCAATCGTGTGCAATGTGCCATTCCGTTTCTTCACATGGAAGCTTCCTGAATGCATGCCACCTTTTGTTTAAGATTGCCTTCGATCCAGCTGGGACTACTGCATATCGCTGAAAAGGCTGGGCTGGAGTGCAGGCTGAGGACACAATAAGATGCTTTGCGGTGCTTGGTCTGATAGATGCTTGGAAGCCCCTTTCCATCACCATGCTCGCAGGTTTTTTGCTCCCCTACCCTTCATTTTTGCCCGCCCTGGGCAGGTGATGGGTTCACAAAGCAAGTGTTGCAGCCAGCAACGCAATCGTGTGCAATGTGCCATTCCGTTTTTTCACATGGAAGCTTCCTGAAGGCATGCCACCTTTTGTTTAAGATTGCCTTCGATCCAGCTGGGACTACTGCATATCGCTGAAAAGGCTGGGCTGGAGTGCAGGCTGAGGACACAATATTTATATATATATATATGTATGTAATGTACGGACTAGATGTATTGTATTATAGACTTAATATTTATGTACGTATATAAAGCATGGGCGAACTTCTCATTTTCATCAATCAATTTGTCCAGGTGTCTTTTCCTCTTTCATAAGACAACGCTCTTGTCGCAGCTTTGCAGAAGTTTGGTTCATGACTGATGGTCGGAAATGGAGCCAGGATCCTAAAAGATGGAGACAGAGTTGCAGTGGCGCCATTTCAAAGCGCCTCTCCTGCCTTTTGTTGAATAGCCGTGTGCATTCAGAGCAGCCTGAGAGTTGTGTGAGAATTTATCATATCCCCAACAAGTTCAATTCATCAAAAGCCGGGCTCGAACTCAAGCCGGGCCTATGGAGTCACCATGAGGTGGCAATCCCCGAGAAGTTGAAGAAAGCCTATCCGACCTTGCCAATCTTCCGCACGGCTTCCTTCACAATGGAGCCTATAGGTCATTACGCAGGTGATACTGCCCAGGGCCCAGCTTCCACTCATTTCTGGTGGGGTATCGGGTATCACTTGATTTGTGTATGCCTGGGAGCAACGTTCCTTTCTGAGGTCATCGGACCCGTCGATTCCAGTGGATGCTTTGTCCGAATACAAGCGGGGTTTCTTCCAATTCGCTGCGATGATGTGCCAGTTTTGCTCGAGAGGTGGGAGGTCAGGACTGACCACCTCAAACTCAAAGAAGCCATCCCGGGTGTGAGGTACCGGCAGAACAATGGGAGAATTGCACAACGAAAACCGGTTCTGCCCTGGGGTGCTGTTGTTTTTGGGACGGAGCTTGAAGAACAACAGCGGGTTCAGGTTGGCAAGTTCTATTTGCCAATTTGCCTCCCGGATGGAACGCAGGTCTTGTCCCGAGCGCTGCAATTGGAACAGCCATGCCCTGTACATGAACGAACCGTTCGCTTCTGCTTGCTTGCTCGCCAGGGTGAATATTTTCTGACAGGGACCTTCACAAACAACTGGCAGAGTGCTATTCCTCTTGCGCCTGCGCCACTTCATCCAGCCCTTGCACGACATTTGAGGCAGAAGCAGCTCTACTACATAGATGTCCCAGTGATGGACTTGGGCATGGCAAACTTCAAATTTCGACGCTTTGACAAAGGCTACATCTACAACGCCATGGAGTGGGAGTGTGAGGGTACGGATTCCAACCGCACATCCAATATTCATCATGATGTTGCTCCTGACGCAAGGATATTCATGTCCTATGGCCATCCAGAAGCCACCGAAGATGATGTGCTTGATTTCCTCAGAGTCGCAGTTTGGCCAAATGCCCTCCAAGACTTCGACCTTGCAGTGAGAAAAGTCATGGAGGTAGAGCAAAGTTTGCTGCAAGTGCGTTCTGAACGAAGCTATCAGAATCCCCATGCAGAGGGAACAGTTCGTCGCGCGTTGTCCGAACTTTTGTGCCTGTCAGTATGCCCCAAGCCATGCAGTGGACTCTATTTCTGGATAGCTGTCCTGCACCACAGAGCCACTGGAAGCCTTCAACAGCTGCAGAAGGTTCTGAAGGATGAGCTTCTGTCGGCTATTGCCGCTTGGCCAGCTGAAGTCATTTCACATCCAAGCCTTGCAAACGACGTTCTTGCAGTTTTTCTGGCAGCAGTGCGGGAAGAAGGGCAAGTGAGCCCCAGGCTGTCTCAGCAATGGCTGCAAGCAACAATCCAATTGATTCTACATGCCAAGGTCCCCGCGGAAGAGTCAAATGCCCTGACAGTGTTTGCCGAACGGGTTGAAGGTTGTATTTTCCCTGAGTGGGGAACCATTCAGCTGCAGGGTGTCCCAATTGCAAGAGTGGAGGTGGCTCTGCGTGTGGCTCTACGACCTGGGTATTGTCAACAGGTATGGTTTGGTGCCATGCGATTTCTGCAGCAATGTCCCTATGCGGAGCTCTTTGGGTCAGTTTGCGCACTAGTTGCTTTGGACGAGTCTTTAGGTCACCCTGAGCGGGGATGTAGGAATTGGGAGGCCATAGTGTCTCAACTTCAATGCTTTCTTGACAAACTTGGGGTAGGGCGTGTTGACATAGAGCTGCAAGGAAAGCTCACCGCAATCATGGCAGAAGCTTGGACGCGCAGCGCGGGAATGCGCCATCGCATTCCAAAGCTTGGAACGATCAGCGTGAGCATGGTGATGCTCGCCAAGGCGCTGACGGCTGAACCTGAAAGAGCTCACTTTGTAGAGTTTGAAGACAGTTGTGAGCTTGAGTGGCTACGCTTGGCTGCAGCCATCAGCTATGACCAACATGCACTTGCCTCAGTTAGCAGCAGACTGTCATCAGCCATCACTGTTATATAGTCGCAGCAATGTAGGAAAATCAGGTCCGCATCCACAAACAATAATATATATTATTTTAGTCCTGTCTCTGAGCCTCCACATGCATGAGCAGACGTGAAGCTCACAAGTTGGACATGGCAACCAATAAGACCAGAAGCTGAACATGTACAACATTAAGCCAGGAAGCTGAACAACAACAGAATTGAAGCCTTAAAGCTGAGCTGAAACAACACCCAGAAGCAAAATATGCACAATGCGTTTCAGCACAATCCCATAAGTCCATCGTATGCACTGTGCAAAGGAGGGCCACAGTACACACTTAAAAATCATTGAAGTCTTCAACTTACCTCTCTGACTTCAAGGGAAGGCCACCCGACCCATAAATGCACATACCGATTTTGTGCAAGTTTTCATGTCTGATGCTGTTGTCTTACATGAACCATCTTGAACATTTGAATTCCATATCCCAAGCTTGACAGATCGAATCTCGACTGGTTCAGTACTGTATTGTCTTCCAACAAGATTTCCGTTGGGCAAAGAGATCGTCATAGGCAAACTCTGTGCCTTGCGTGTCCTGTTATGGCAGGCGGCAGCAAAACCAAACAACATGCATTCTAGCTGAGCTCACAGGAAGGAGCCCACCATATCGAAAGCGGCAAGCTGTAGAAGAACCATCGTGTCTATGGAAAGCAAGAGTCTTTTGCGTAAGTTCTGTGTAAGTCACATCAGAACCATCGGAATGTGCCAGTTTGATGGTGTGTAAGTTTCCGGCGTTGGGAGAGTGGAAGTGGGCATTCGTGCGAACAAGGGTCTCAAGTTCCCATTGTCTTGCGTCAGTTCACGTCGTGACCGCATAAGTTGAGAGCAAGCTGCGTGGAAGGGAAAAAATCTGCCGAGGCGTTTTCTGAAGCACGGTTTGTATCACATACATAAATATTGCCACATATAGGCATGAGCCCAAAAAAGCAGCGAGGACTATGCTTGTGTGGTTGCTCCAAGTGTGAATGTGCTCTCAACTCAGAAGTCTGTTGAGGCAAGCGATGAGCGCTGGGTTTCGTCCGTGGCGCAGTTTGCCACGTGCCTAGCTGAGCGGTCCAGGGGAGCTCCAACTCTCATAAAGCAGGCTCTACAAATTTTGTTCAGCTTGCGTGCTGCTCCTGGCCTGCAAAAGGTGGTCTTTGACCGACTTTGGAGAAGCACGCTGCTTCATTCACTGTACCCGAACGAGGTCGTTGAGGCTATCCTTCGAACTTCCGACCAAGATGCGTTCAGTGAAGAAGCATGCCATGCTTTCTGCATTTTGCAAATGAGGCGCTCATTGGACCAGGCACTGGAATCACTGGAAGTCAGCAACCGGTTGCGAAGGGGAGAGCAATGGCAGCATTGGCTCCAGCTCGCAGATGCGCATGATCATGGCTGGTATGTGGAAGTGATTCTGCGCTTTGCATTGCGGTGCTTTTCGGACAGGTCTATCATTGGCCAGGGTAAAGCTTCAGGCAGTTGCCCAGAGTTTGATCGCCTTGAGCACGCCTGGGGAGGCGGATCTCAAGTCAAGGATTCTGCGGGAATTGTGGAATGGAGCATGCTAGTGTGGCATCCGGACTTTTGGCAAACAGCTAGGTCAATTGGAGGCACTCGAGCACAGTCGTTGACGCCAGGAATCCTGCTGCCCTTGCAACACTCCTTGAGTTCTCTGGCTGAGAAGATCGTGGCCGGGGAGTTGACAGTGCAAGAGATGTTGCGAACTGCTCCCTTGAATGCCTGGCAGAACTCTGCTTTCTTTGAGTTGCTTGAGCATGGGCCAGTCACACATCAGCTGCAAGACATGATCAAGAGAGTCCGGTTCATGCAGGAGTTCGAAATCAGTGTTCAACGACTTTCACAGGTGTTTCCGGGGCAAGCCGCAGCCAGTATTTTGGCAGAGGGCCTCTACAAATCGTTTCTCAAGGCAGCTACCAATACTAAGAAACTTGAACCCTTGCCAGAGGTCTCGCAGCTCCGTGTACCCTTGGCTGAGATCAAAGAAGAGTTATGGACACTGCCTGTGGAATTGCCTTCGAAACTCCAGGTATCTCACGTTGATGTACCACTGCCCAGCTTCTCCTTGGTGCTGACTGCCATCAAGACTCTTCGTTTGGCCCGTTCAGGGAGTAACAGACCATTGCATTCAATGCTCCAGGCAGTGGAGCAAGAAATGAATGCTTTGAACAACAAAGGAAGCGGCTTCAACTTGTTGGAGAAGGTCTTTGTTTTGTACCAGGGCATTGAGCGGGTTTTGAAGGGTCTTTCAGAAGTTGGAGGTGAAGAAGCCAGGCTATCATCACAGGCATTGAGTTTGATTGAACGACATTGGGCTCCCGTTGCTCCAACAATGGTGTCGACACTTTTGGGAGAGATTCAGTCAGTGAGCTCTTTGAGTTTTGGGGACTTGAATGAAGTTGGTGGCCGAGTACAAGCAGTACTCAGAGGCAGAAAAACAGTGGAATTTTGGAACCTTTGCACAATGATTCTGAGCCACTTATCGAGCACCTTGCCAAACAGGGCAATCCAGGGAGGATTCTCAGAGGAAACATGTGATCTCGTTGCTTCCCTGCAAGCGATGCATGAAGCCTTCAATGCAGCCAAAGAGCAGAAAAACGAAAGTAAGCTGACCACCAAGACTTTGGACCAACTGGACAGCGCTACACAATGCTTGCGAGAGTTCTTTGAGTTCCTGGGCGGTGGAGATGGAGACTCTGGCTTTGAACAGGTGCTGCGGCTTGTGACCACCATGGCTGAAGGTCCAGGCCTCTCGTTTTTGAGAGTTTTGCTCAGCAGCGCTCAGAAAGGTGAGCATTTGGCAATGAGGCTGGCGGAGCTTGTGGAAGGCGCATTGACACAGGAGACATTGGCACATGTGGAGCAAGCTTCAGCCGTCTTTATGCCTCTTTGTGTCGCAGTCCTTTGGGCCATGCGCTCTCCAATTGATGCTAACAAGTTTCGGGTCATGGTGGAGGGTGAGTGGTCAGAACTGATCCAGACGGAGGCTCTGCGCGCAAGCTCTCAGGCCCAGATAGGAGATTTGATGCTGAAAATGCTCCGTGAGACATACAAGATCCACGGAAGCAAGCTGAGTGAGTTCTTGGAGGGCTTGAGGTCAGCACTGCGGCAGGGAGGGGTACTAAAGCAAAAGCTGGAGGAGAATTCTGATGATGCCACAGCCGTCAGCAATACAGTTCATGGAATGGTGAGTGGAGGGTACTTGGAGCTGGCTCCCAGCACTGATGCAACGCACTTCGAAGTTCTAGGTGTGTTCAAATTCAGCAAGGACCAGGCGATGATCACACGAGATGTTCAGCAACTCACCGAGTGCTCCGACAAAGCCAGCCTCGCTGTACCCAAAGTTGCCTTGGATGCCGACAATCCTACAGCCTTGACTCAAGAGAAAGTGCAAATTTTCACTGGATGCATTGAGGGAATTCTTGGCTTGCGGCAGGAGCTGACAGAGCTTCTTCTGATTGGACACCCTTACTTGGAAGACGCAGGAGAATTGCGATTTCCACGTCAGGGAGAGGGCTTGTCAGCTTCAACATTGCAAGAAGTCAAGGACACCTTGAGATGGGCACAAGGTGCAATGCAGCAATGGTGCAATGCCCTGGATCAAGCCGGTGCCAGACATGCAATCATGAGCACCATCCCTGCCAGGAACATTGTCAAACTTGCCCGTGCAGTGTTGAATAGCACGCCTTCTGCAGTCGCTTCGCTGATGTCCTTTCAATGTCAGGTGGAGGGCAAGTTCGAGAGCGATCAACAGTTAAACGAGTGGTTGGAACAGTGCAAGTGTTTTTCTCCCGGAGAAGGTGTTCAGGAGAAGTTCCTGGAAAAGCTTGCCGAAGTGTCAAAGCAGGTGATTCCCCCACATGCCTTGACCACATTCTCGCCTTTGCATCAGATTGCTCGGTGTTACCCAAAGCAGAGAGCTTCTGACGATGCAACTGCAAGAAGTAGAATAGACCGCAGGCAGAATCCGAAGTTCTACCCGAAACGTGTTCTATTGATTCAGGAGGAGTTGTCGCATGAACCTGGCAATTCGGCCTTGCAAAGCATGGCCACAACCACAGTGCTTTCCTTGCTCTTGCCTCTTGGGATCGGACCCAGTGCCGAAAATCTCTTGCTGTGTGACTCCAGCACCACCAAGGATGATGTTTTGAGGTTTCTGCACCGAGTTACTCATGCTACCCGCCTTGCTATGGACACCTCTCGCCAATCCCAGGTTCTCGGCGTTTGCGTTCATGTGGATTGCTTACAGCCGGATGTGCTGCAGGAGCTCCTGTGCAGGGTGGATGCCATGCAAGCAGCGGTTGGTGCAAGGCGCACAGAAGCCGACAGCGTTGCTGAATTTGAAGTGCGCCTGGCTTTCACACTGACCATGCGTGCTTCCAAGACACTGATCGAAACCTTGGAGAAGGACTTGTGCAAGCAGCAGCAGATCAATATCTTGAAGCTTTCCAGCATCAAAGCTTTTTTGAAAGAGGCTGGGGCAGCTGCTTTGGGATGTCACAGCATTGTGAGTTCCAAGTATGCCGGAGATGGCAAGACGCATGCCATTCGTAGATCTGAGAAGTGGGACCCAGACTCTCATGTCACAATTGTTTGGGGTGGTGCCCAGACACGTGGGCAAGCAGCAAGAGCCTTGAGGAAGGCCGAGGGTGCTGGCTGCGTCCATTTAGAGTTGCACGGATTTGAAGAAGGTGGTGGGGTAGATGCTGACATGCTGCTGATGGAGCTTCTTCTTTTTCGCTGTGTCTTTGATCCCGAGAGGTCTGAGTGGACACGCTTCGCTGCTGACACGCCACTCTTCGTGGAAGTAGCAAACTCAATCAAGATCAGGCAAGGAACCGGCCCAGTTCAGCTCATGATGCTCTCAGCGCCGATTCTGAAAGGTGTGCCAGGACAAAGATTGATCCATGCAGACTCTCCATTTCTTTTCAGTGGCGAGGATCTTTTCCCGGAGAGGGCTGCTTCCAGCGCACGGGACTTCGCTTTGGCTGGTGCAGCCTTACTTCTGGGTGAAGAGACGCAAAATCTGGTTGGGTGTGAAGGGGAGCATGGCGTCGCCTTCAAGCTAATGGCAGATGCGCAAGGACAAGGTGGGCATTTTTCTCCTTCCGTGTCGAGGAAATGGCCTGACAAAAGAAGGGGCCTCCTTACATTGCAGAGCATTGCATCCCACAGCCAAAGCTCATTCTGCTGCATTGCACGTTGGAGTGTGACTCTCATCATGTCAATGCTTTTCATGGCGACAGCCATGCACACACACACACACACCCACATGTACGCCTACATTCAATGCACATGTGGCAGTTTTCAGGTGCACCTGTATAAACGAGAACACCTAAGACTATGACCATATCGATGTTTGCGCAAGCCACACCGGTTAGTGCAGGGTATTTTTTCTGGAAATTTTGGAGTTACTGCGTGGTCCAGCTCAAGGATTGATCCTTTTGTCGAGCCAACCGCTGATGAAATCTCGCATGGTTCAGATCGAGCTCAGGGTCGGAACCGTAGTCGTCAAAAGCCAAACAGATGCACGTTTAACTTCCCAACTTCCAGTTCATGACCCAATGCTGTGCAAGCACCAGCTTAGCTTGCTTTTCTCAGCAAAGCTGATTCATACCGTCCCCATTTCTCTACTACTACGGTGACTGGTTCCTACTCACTGAGAGGTGAATGCAAGAGAGAAGGTTCGAGGATATATAATTAATTATAAGTATATATATATGATTATACATGTGCATATACCATACACATACATTTGCATATGCACAACATACTGTATACATGTATGTATATATATATATATATATCTATTTCCTTGACAAAAAGAACGCCTTAGTTCAGTTCCTGTCAGTTCCTGGTGCAAGGCCCTCCTGGTGCAAGGCCCCCAATTAACCATGCCAGCCCCCCAGAGTATGTACCTCCCAGTGCAATCATGTTGAACAGGGCCACAGCCACAGAACTGCTTTCAACCACCCGAAGCCAGTCTGACTCCTAGGTCCTAGCTGTAGCTAGCCGCGCAGGTCGAGCAAGAACACGGCGTCTCAGCACCAAACATTGGCGAGTTCATTTTCCTGTACATGCATTCGGTTGAGCAGCTGCATAGTAGCAGAACGAGTCCGTTCCTTGAAATGGACAGGGCACATGTGTCATACCGCTGTTGATGGAATGGATGAGGTGGACATACATTTGCGCGTGTGGTGTGTTGTTCAATCCGGTGTGAAACAACTGAGTAGACATCCTGACGCGCAGGATGTTTTGGGAGTGTCTTCAGGTGTGCGGCTCCCCGTAGGAGTGCACCTCAAAGCTCATGACTCCAAGAGCCTTAACAATGACAACATGCATCAAGCGTGGGCAAAACAACCACAAAGATGCGCAAAATAACCCCCAAAGTAAGCTCTTACGTTCTCAGAAAGTGTTCAACTTACTGGACAAGCTGCAGCCTCGCACATATCGCCCCAAGAATGCTTCACAACCTTCCGCTAATATTGACTGCTGACTACTGGCGCAAGCCCATGCTTTGCAGGCCTGGTGGTTGCGGGAGATCATGCAAACTTAGTGCAGGGGCTCTGTGGTAGAGTGGCTGAAGCAGCCTGTCTGGCACTGCGGGCGGCCTGGCTCCATGGTGCGGCTGGTGATGCAAGAAGAGATCCTCCAGTACCATCCAAAGCTACCATCATGTCCTTTTTGACTTTCTTGGCACACTGGACCAGGAATTGGGCTCAACAGGCTTTCCTTTTCGAGAAGACCTTCGAGGGTCAGCGAGGAGTTGACATTCGTGCCGCATTCGTGCCGGTTTTGAAAGAGATGATTTCTATGGCGGCTGCCATGTGTTTGCGCTCCTCAGCAGCCGAGGCTCAACAGGGAGAGAGGGAGAAGATAGTGGCTGGCGAGGATGGAATGACTTCCTCTTTGTCTGAGGCGATGGCCTGTCGAGTGCTTCCGACATGTTGTTGCCTCAAGTGTGTGGGCCTTCAACACTGGAGGTTCCTTGCGGTTCATTGGGAACGGACATGATGTACCCAGTGCCTTGCTACGACTATGGGACTTGGTGCGCAGGGACCTAGCACGTGGAAGAGAGCCTGAGACAATTGTGCAGCCGCCAAGTGACTTGGGCAGTGCAACCCAAGATAAATTGCAAGCGTTGCTGCTAGACATGATGACAGGCCACGGAATGACTTCAGAGGAGGCTAGATTTGCTGCGCAATACAATTTTCTTTTTTTCTTTCCTTTCTGTCTCAACGAGTTCACCAGGAACTGAAACTTGTGGACCATGATGGTAATATAGTCGGAGATTGGTCCACTACTGGGGGTTTGAGGTTTCCCTACTCAGGAACTGAGGGATGCTTTCCGTGGTTTTGTCCTCACGAGGGACAATATGATCAAGCTCGTTGATGTGGCTGAGCGCTTGCGAGCTCAATTGCCTTGCATACTCATGGGCGAAGCTGGGTGCGGAAAGACAGTTCCCAGACTGCAACATCATTTTGCAATTAGCTTTTCTACAGGTTTCTAATGGTTTCTATATCGAGAGAAGAGACTCGGGTTTCAAAACAGAACCACCAGGGAACCGGAACCGGGTTCTTTTTTCCTCAAGAAGACAGAATGCAACTTGTGCTCTCTTGGGCCAGGTGTTACTGCGTCTTACTGCACGGTTGCTCGGTGCAGGCCAACTTGAGGAGCAGCAAGTGCATGCAGGTACGACCGAAGCTGAGATTTTGGAGGCTCTCAACAAAGGGGAAGAACTTGCTCGACAAAAAGCAGATGGAAGGAAGGATGGTGGCACGGAGCATATGGTAGTGCAGTTCTGGGATGAGCTGAATACCTGTCCGCACCAGGCGCTCTTCAAGCAGATTCTCATTGACCGCATCAACCCAAGCACTAGCAAACCCATTCACAGGGGCTTGTGTTTCGTCGCCGCTTGCAATCCTTGGCGCCGTGCAAGCCAAGGTAGCGTGGTGTGTGTTGGATTTGAAAGCCCAGTCTCCCAAGAGGATCGCTTGGCCGGTCTTGCGTATCGAGTGCATCCGCTTCCCGAAAGCCTGTTCACGCACCTGTCCTCGTTTGGGCAACTTGACTCCGAAACTGAAAAGCAGTACGTCAAAGAGATGGCATCTCAAGCTCCGCAACTCCTAAACCCTGATGACCAGTGGCTTCGACCGCCTCCATTGACCAAATCCATGTGCGATCATGTGGCTCAATACGTGTGCATCATCCATGACTTCTTCCGGGCTCTGGGCTCTTGTGTCTCGTTGCGGGATCCAAATCGTCTCTTGAAGCTCTGGGGGTTCATTCGCTGGGAATTGGAGCAGAGAGAGAAGCTGGAGATGGCGAAAGGCCACTCACCCTCAGATGCTTCCCGACGAGAAGTTATTTCCTTGGTTCTGGCGCTTCATTTGGCATATGAAGTGAGGCTTCCAGATCTTGAGAAGCGGAATGAGCTGCTGGCAGCTCTCCTCCATCAATCCAACATCGGCGATCTCTTGAAGACTTCCTTCCCACATGCTTGCAAGAATGAACTCGAGTGCATCAAGACCTGGCGCGACATAGTGCTGGATGAGCAGGACTACTGGCTAAATGCATTCGATGTGGCAGACAACATTGCCAAAGTTCGGGCGCTGAGAGAAAACATTTATGCTGCGCTGATTTGCTCCATGACCCGCACACCCATTTTCATCCTTGGAAAGCCTGGTTGCTCGAAGTCCCTGACAGTGTCTCTTCTGATTAGTGCCTTGGCCGACCCCTACAAAGAGCAGTTGCTGCACTTGGCAAGCTTGAGTGTCCAGCCATACCAGGGGAGTCGCCAGTCAACCTCGAGTGCCTTGCTCCAGGTCTTTGAAAGGGCACTTGCTAGACAGAAGAAACTCCGGACTCTGAATCGAAGAACGCGGCCTTTGGCCTTGGTTTTGCTGGATGAAGTTGGATTAGCAGAACAGAGCCCTCACAATCCGCTCAAGGTGCTGCATGCACGGTTGGAGCCACGACGGGCTCAAGATGCAGTATCCGTGATTGCCATCAGCAATTGGGAACTGGATCGGAGCAAGTTGAGTCGTGGTCTGTTGTTGGCATGCCCACCACCATCTGAGTCAGATCTGAGGCAGACGGCTTTGGCAATCATTCGAGCATATTGTAAGGGCTCCGCCCTGGTGCCGCCGACCCCTTTTTTGTGAGACAAGGCAGCATGGCGAGGAAGGCAACAACCGAAGTTGGACATAGTGCTCCCCAGCTACTCTGCGTACTAAAGTTGTATTGCTAAGTCGCCACT